AAGTAGAATTTTTGAATATAATATTACAGATGTAATATTACTTTTTATATTAAAGAATTTCATTGTAGTTGTAAATGATTACAATCTAGAAACAAATGGAATCATTTTTGTTGCTTAATTCTTGTGGTTAAAAGATTCCACCGTTAAAAAGAGCTAGTGAAAATAACACATGAAACTTTCAAATTACAGCTCTCTCCAAACACACCATAATGTTTATTTATAAATATCCTCTGCTAAATTAGCAAATCAGCCAAGAATCTCCATGAAAATCAGATTATATTCTTTTGGTCTTGGTTATTAAGGAGACTGACTGGCTTTGACACAGACACGACATCACACATGCAAGTTCTATCAGATGATTTTCCATATGTAATAATTAAAAACTGAATATATGACATTCCAAATTACATAAATTAATAGGGTCGTTATATTAATAATTAGACTATTCTTGATGTATTATGTTAAATTATTATCACAATTTGGAGAAATACAAACAAAACAGAAAATGTTTTGAGAGACCAATTTAAAGAGTAACGTAAATATTTGTTTTCTGCAGAAGGCTGAAGAAACTTGAATTATTCAGGCCAGAAAAGAAAAAGGATCATGGAAGAACACAAGTATTTATTCATCATTAATTCAACACTGACTTATTGAACACCTTAGCTAGGTGTTGTTCCAGGTCCGGAGGCATGGGGTAACCTCAACGGACAAAGGTTCCTGCTCTCATGGAACTTGCATCCTGAATGGGAGAAGACAATGATAAGAACTCAACAAGCTCTAGGAGAGCAAGGATTTCTGTCTGTTCTGTTAACTTTGGTATTCCCAGCATCTACTAGGTGTTCAATAAATAGTTGTTGAATTAAACAAAAAAAGTAACTTCAGCTAGTGATAAGTGCTATAAACAAAACAGTAGTAAGTAGAGAGCATTGGAGGAAGAGGCAGATATGTTATTACAGATCAAAGAGTTAGAAAGGGCTTCTCTAAAGTTATGCCATTAGAATTTCAACTTAAGTCAGCCCTGCAAATATCTGAATAAAGAACTTTCCAGAAAGAGAAAATAACAAAGGCTCTCGTCTGAGGCAGGAGTGGTTTGACATTCAGACAAAAGCCTGCCTGGACAAGCCACAAGGCCCCAGTAAAGGGTTCAGATTTCATTCAAATTGTTTAGGCAACATGTATTGGTTGCTTCAAGTGGGGTGAGAGTAGTAAAAATGAAGAGACAGTAGGTAACTTCATGATCTATTTTGGAGTTGAGGAGTAGACAAGATTTGTTAATAGGTTCAGTATATGAGATGAGGCCAAAAGACATATTAAGAATGACTTTGAGGTCTAGAGCTTGAACAACTGTGTAGGTGATGTTGCTATCTATTGAAACGGGAAAATGAGGTGAGAAGCAGGTTTTAGGTAGGTAGTAGAGGAAAGGATAAACTTTTACAACTGGCCATATATAATGACAATTTCAAGTAAGCAGTTCGATATTTCAATTTGAAGGTAATGAAACGGACTGAGGTAAAAAGCTGTAAGTTTGGAAGCTGTCTGCATAAAGATAAATACATAGGGCTGAAGAATTGTCAGGACAAAGGGCGCTGAGAATGATTATCCCACAGAACCCCAAGGGGAAAAGCAAATAATTGAAGGTAGATATTAAAGTGAATTAAGCACACTTTGTAAGAGAAAGGACATTTTAACAATCTAACTAGAGCTATACAGTAAGAGACTAAGCTGCTTGTATCCATTATGGGCTTTCCATAAAAAGAGGCATTTCCAGTATAGCAGTGTGTGCAAAATGACCATCTGTAGGATTACTACTAAAGTAATTCTTACAAGAGAAAGGACTATCCCTAAATGTTCTTGCAAGGTAACATTTAAAGGAATTTTTAAGACTCACTAATATATCTTCACTTACGTAACTCATCTTTTTTTTTTTTTTTTTCCCAGATGGAGTTTTGCTCTTGTTGCCCAGGCTGCAGTGCAATGGTACGACCTCAGCTCACTGCAACCTCCGCCTTCCAGGTTCAAGCAATTCTCCTGTCCTAGCCTCCAGAGTAGCTGGGATTGCAGGTATGTGCAGCACACCCGGATAATTTTATATGTTTAGTAGAGATGGGGTTTCTCGACGTTGGTCAGGCTGGTCTCGAACTCCCAACCTCAGGTGATCTGCCCACCTTGGCCTCCCAAAGTGCTGGGATTACAGGCGTGAGCCACTGCGCCCGGCCACAATTTATCTTGTTAGTAAATAGATTCAGGGGTAAAAACCATGGGCAAATACAATGTATGTCTACTGGTAGCCATTAATTGTTACCTGTTTTCGTTAGCAAAAGGTTATCCAGGTGCCTGTCTCCAACTCCAAGTATATACGTGATCACGCAATATCCAGCTGCAATAGCAGTTAAAAAAATGTGAAAACAAATGCAAACCAGGTTATACATTCTACTAAATATAAAAGCAGTTTGTGCAACTTTATTATCAATTGTTTTCTAATGTCTCTGGTTTCTCACCTAAATTCTCAAATATGCAATCTTTATATCTGTCACTTGAAACTCAAAGTACTATTTAAAACAGAAAATCTTGCAGAATTCTGGGAAATTACAAAAGTCACTTGCATCAAAACTTAAGTTAGGTTAAGGAGACCTTAATTATAACATGGGCCTAGCAATTCTAACATCAAATTGGACACAGTTAAAGATGACATCAAAAAAGAAGTATCTACAGAAATACACATAATAAAGTCAACTGTCAATTATCTCATAACTCATAACCATGTTATCTATAAGAAAACATAAGTAAATGCAGGGTTAATTTTTTTTTAAGTCTGTGGAAAAATAATCTTGACATGGAAGCAGATAGAAAACCAAATGCATTCATTTGAGTGGTAAAGACATTTATGAAGTTCACGCAATAATCTTCTAAAGCATTAAGAAAAATTATATGATCAAGACTAAAGGCAGAGGCATTGGCTCTAGCTGTATTCTGTTTTCTTTTTCTTCTAAAAAAAAAGCCTGAAAATTTAGCATTTATTGAAACTACTTACAGAGAATTTAGCAAATAGCACCTTTTTGGAGGTTTTTTTTTTTTTTTTTTACTATGTTTATTTCTACCATTAATAACCTGACAATAAATACAACTTGTACACATATAAAACTATAGCAATATTTACCAAAACCTGTTTATTTCAGCCCATGTGTAAGAACAAGATGGGACGACCTGTTAATGAACTTACAACCTTGCTCAAATTCAGTAAATAATACGGTTCATTTGACTCAGGTTCTGAAGGCCATTCCAGAAGTCCAAAAGCAACTTAAGCAATGTATCATCATTGGAAAAATAGTATTAATAACAATCACAGTTACAATGTACTGAAGGCTAGGCTCTTAGCCAGGCATATCATATTCATCATTTCTAACCCTTTTAATGATGCCAGTTAAGTATGATAACCATCCTTCAAATGAAAAACTTCAGGCTCCAAGAATTAATGTTATTGTCCAAAGTCACTGGGCTGGAATTTGTGTCCAATGAAATGTAAGCAAATGTAGATGCATGGAGAGCAGTTTTAAGCAAAGGGCTGACTCAGCTAGGAGGTTAGCCCTTCAGGCCTTTTCTCCTTCCTGTCTAGATTGTGACATGATGACTGTAGTTGCAGCAGTTATTTGAGACCCTAAGGAAAAGGGCAAGAGAATCACAGAGCCTTCACCTGGCCCTAACCACCTTAAATAGTTGGAACAACAGCAATCTCTTACAACTAGTTTTGTCACAAAAGAGAAAATAAACTCTTATGATTAAGTCACTATAGGTACATTATGTTAACTGCAGCGGAACGCAATGATAACATTTAGTGGTCCACTGAGGAGGACTTAAAGGGTATCTAGATGAAGGGAGAAAAAACTACAGCTTGATGGCCAAATCTGGCTCCCTTTAGTTTTTGTAAAGTTTATTTGAACACAGTCATACTCATTCATTTACATACTGGCTTGAGCATTACAATGGCAGGGTTGAGGTCACACAGATCATCTGACTTGAAAAGCCTAAAATACTACCTGCAAAGCTTTAGGGAAAAGTCTTACTGACCCTTGATCTAGAGCATTGCTACACAAAATGTGATCCCACAGACTGGCAGTATCACTGTCACCTGAAAGCTTGTTAAATATGTAAACTCTTCAACCTTACCTCAGTCCTACTGAATCAGAATTTCTAGGGGCAGCAGCCACAATTCCATTGTAACAAGCTTTCAAAATTACTATGCACACCAAAGGTTGAGAAGTCTTCTCTAAACTCGAGTGTATTAATGAACATAAGAATCACCTGAAAATCCTGTTAGAATGCAGATTCCGATCACAGAATCAGGGCAAGGCCCAGGATTCTGTAATACAAACAAGTTCCCAGGTAAACCCAATACTGTGGGTCCACATATCACACTTTAAGTAGCACTGCTCTAAAACTGCCACAATACATGCAACTTCAAAACTGACTAAAGACTCCCCATTGAAAAATAACTAAGTGACTTACTAAGGGATATGAAATTTGATATCCTTAAAGAGAAACTCAGTAGAGCACCCTGAGAACACATGAGAACTTAGTACACTTAGGTCCTCTAATATGTGATTCTTAGAAATCCAGCTGCTACTCGAGGGTACTAAACTACTGATAACGTGCATATGAAGACAAGAGAAACTCCTGCAATTTTCAAAAATAACATCACTGCACATCAGTGCAGCTGAGTTGTTCGATCCAGACCTACTCACTATTCCCATTTTTTTTAATAATAAAGTACAATTGGTTTTTGTCACTATTTAAGTTGTTTAGCTATCTCTACAGAATACTGATTCACCCATGTTGCAACAGTTAATTCTGACCTAAAATTTTCATGTAACTAGATATACATGAATTATGCCTAATCCTAATTATAAAGCAAAATATTTATATAAATGACTCATCATCAAATTTGTTTGAGAGTGATATTTCATTGTTACATGGAAATGGAAAATGAATAAGGGTCTTTTGCCCTGCCTCATTGGGTTATGGTCATAAATATGTTAGATGGTCATTCTGATAAATATGTTTAGTCAAGTGAAATATATGTATCGACATATGGTCATATTTAATAGTAAAGATGAAAATTTAGAGTGCTTCAATAGTTTAAAGTGTCAGTACTCAGCAGGGCACTTCAAACAAGGCTACATCCTGAAAAACAACAACAAAACATTTGAGGTATGAATGGGATAATCCTCAGAAACGATGAGGAGATAATTAATACTCAGAATGATTTGGCCTGGGTACAGTGGCTCACGCATGTAATCCCAGCACTTTGGGAGGCCGAGGCGGGCGGATCACGAAGTCAGATCGAGACCATCCTGGCTAACAGGGTGAAACTCTGTCTCTACTAAAAAAAAATACAAAAAATTAGCCAGGTGTGGTGGCGAGCGCCTGTAGTCCCAGCTACTTGGGAGGCTGAGGCAGGAGAATGGCGTGAACCCGGGAGGTGGAGTGAGCCGAGATCGCGCCACTGCACTTCAGCCTGGGCGACAGAGCGAGACCCCATCTCAAAAAAAAAAAAAGAAAATACTCAGAATGATTTAAGATGACCTGAAATAAATTTGCTAGAAAATTTTTAGGGAAAATTATTCTTTATACAATAATGGAAACACTATTTCTGTCCAAGAAAATCTTGTTAAAACAATGTTGTTAGTTTTTTTACTCCATGTGAGATGCAAAACATCTTGAAATTGTTTTTATAAAAAAAACTTTGACTTAAAGAAAATTATAAAGAGAAATAAACCACTGATCCTATTTCCCTTTACTTAGTAAAGATATGTGTGTATGTGAGAATAAACAGTATTCCCACATTTAGCTGCATGATACAGACTTGAGACTTTAATCTGGAAAAGATGTCACCAAAACTATTATCAATTGTTTCTTCTTACACCCTGCAAAAACCTTAAAACATTATTTTCTAAAATGGAAGTTACACACAGATTATTTTGTCATACAGGAAGCCATATAGGAAACAGGCGGCTATTCTAGATGAAGAGAAGAGCTGCCATCAAATCAGTTATTGCGGGATGAACACAGGTGAAATGTTGGGAAAAAAGGGAGAAATAAGATGTAATGTGAATTTAACTGTCCAATAGGTAAGATAATTTAAATAGCTATTCTTTCCCCATGAAAAAGTCAGTCATATTTTCATTAGCTCTTGGGGAAAAAATGGGCCATTATACAAAAGACACAACAGTATGACATGAAGCACGCACCTGTAACATACCATTCTGATAATTTTACTAAATGAGCAGAATTTTCAAATTTTAGTCAATATTGACAGGGCAAGTGTATGTGCATGTACTTTGTGTGGAAAAAGTATTTCTTTATTGAACAGATTTATGACTTTAAAAGGTTTACAATAACTATGTTACAAGTAAAAACGTAAAACATAATTATTTGGGGGTATGTAAAACACCTCATGTAATAAGGTACTAAGGGAAATGGCCACAAATTCTGTGACATCCTTTTCATCCAGAGCTTGGATCTATATATATTCTGTCCCCTCACATCCAGGAAGGCTCTAGGACTGCTCTGAACAACAGAATATAACACAAGTGATATAGTACCAACTTCCCAGCCCCAGCCTTCAGAAACCAGTATTTTCCATTTCCTGTCTGTCTGAATATTTGCTCTCGGAACCCAGCTCTGAGAGGCCCAAGCCAGGGACAGGTCATGTGTAGGTGATTCACTATAAGCCTAGCTAAGACAGTATAATCTGCCAATCGTGTGAGTGATCCATCTTGGACGTTCAGCCTAGTTGAGCCTTTACATGATATGTAATTTTTTAGATCACAGAAAACATAGACTTGAAGGTCTGAGAAAAACAGAACAGAAAAGGGGCATTCAAAAGAAAGAAGGAAAACAAGAAAGGAGGGAGGGAAGAGAGAGAGAAATACAGAGTAAGAGGACAAGGGGAAACATTTTCTCTCAAAACCTTCAGTGATTTTAAGTCTTTAAATACTGCATGTAATTATGTTTATGAGCAAATTCAGTTACATGTAATATACATTTATATTCCTAGAGTAAATACAAGAATTAAAACTATAAAGGATTGTAATATATACAAACACAATTTTATTTCCATATTCTCAAACTTCATTTTCTTTCTGTTTTTCAGACAAAAATGTATCATCAACAATAAATTTCAGAATAAGATCCAAAATAATTTGGAAGGTGACTTCACAGGGGTGTTGTGAAAAACACAAAAATACTATGTATAGGAAAGCAACTTTTAAACTAGAAAACAACATGCAAGTTTAAATACAGTATAACAATTAACTAGAAAGCCCTCTTCTTGCTCTCCCAGCTTAAGTATAGGCAAAAATATGGACATAAGCATAAATA